CATTGGGATTTGATTGTATCCTGAATAGGCATCCATGAAGCTCATCAACTCATGACCTGAGGTAGCATCCACCATATAGTCGATATGAGGTAATGGATAGCTGTCTTTTGGAAAAGCAGTGTTGAGGTCGGAGAAGTCAATGCAAAGGCACCATGCCCCATTACTTTTCTTCACCAAAACAGGATTAGACACCCAAGTCGGGTAGTTGGCCTCTTTGATGAATTTGTTATCAATGAGCTTGTTGACTTCTTCCTCTAAGGCCTGTTGTCGATCTGGACCGAGTTTCCTTCTTTTCTGGATGACGGGTTTGATGGTGTGATCAATGTTGAGCCGATGACAGGCTACTTTTGGATCTATTCCTTTCATGTCTTCGTGTTTCCAAGCAAAGACGTCGGCATTGGACTTTAGAAACGAGATGAGTTTGGTTCGAATAGGTTCTTGGAGATTGGCCCCAATACGCAGTGGCTTATCGCAGATGGGTTCATCAACATAGATGATTTCTATCTCCTCAGATGGTTCTGCTCTTTTTTCTTGTTTCTTCTCTTTAAATTGACTCCGCGGGTCTAACTCGTCTTCTTCCGCGACTGGTTCTTTTCCAGGTCTTCTTCCTCTATCTCGGGTAAGGTCTTCTTCACTGGGATTTGAAGTCGGGATTGTTGACGTCGGCTGAACTTCTGCTAGCGTTGTAATAGCTTCGGATGGGTCTGAAGTCGGAAATGCCGATGTCAACTGGACTTCCGATTGAGTCGTGGCAACCCTGAGATTGACATCTTGGATGTCTTCAGGAATTAGACTTTGTGGAACTCGGGTACAGTCAATCATTCTTTCATTTTCATCAACATGCCTCTCCAAATTATGGATCTCTCGAGAAGGGATGGCTAAGATTAGCTCACGGGCTCCCAACTGATCGCCATAATGGGTCCCCTCACCATCAGCGGTTGGAAACTTGATCGAATAATGGAAAATGGACACTGCTGCTCGCAACTTGTACAGGGCTGTCCTTCCGATGATGGCATTGTATTCGTTGTTGATGTCCATGATTTTGAAATTTTCCATGATAACCTTGGAAGTCTGCCCATATCCGAACCTGATGGGGAGAGTTATTTCTCCTAACGGATGGGACACGCTTCCGTTGAATCCGTGTATTTTATCATTGCTTGGGCGGACGTCGGCTGTATCAAGTCCGAGTTTCCTAAAGGCTTGAAGCATAATGATACTTGAATATGCACCGGTGTCCACCATTATACGATGATCGGGAATCCCGCAAACTGGGGCGGTTATGATTAATGCATCTGAATGAGGATGATCAAACAAGCTCGCATCTTCTAATGTGAAAGTGATCGGACACGTACGCGAGTTAATTGTTTCCCGAAGATCGGTATTCATTATTTGTTTCCCCGAGTTGTATGCCTTCCTGGCGTATGCTTTGGCCTGCCGACGTGAGGACGTTGGCTCTTCTCGGTTAGTGTTAACTCGGGGGACAGAGCCTAACCGAATTGGGATTTGAGGAGTGCGGTTAGAGTTGGGGCTATCGCAGTCCCTGTTTCTTTTTCCAAGTCGGTCGTCAACCGAACTGGATCCTTCTGCCCCGATCATGAATATTTCCTTCTCTCCTTGTTGTAGACGGATTCTTTTGGGATTCATCGCGTCTTCGTCTTCTTCATCTCGGTCAGGAACATGAGCTATTTGCCTCCTTTCTTTAACTTCATGTTTGGTAAATTTTCTCACTTGTGGATTTCCAATCAACTTCAGAAGGGCCGACAATAGACTTAGACATTCATCGGTGTTGTGACCTGGAGACCGATGGTAATCGCAATACCGTGACTTGTCCAATTGATTTTCAGGAGTTTTGACTGGTCTGGCTTCAGGAAGGATTCCTTTTCCTTTGATCTCTTGATACACCGTTGCGGCACCAACCGAGTAGATGGATTGGTAACCTGCGGTTAGATCTTCCTTGTATTGTCTTCTGGCAGCTTTTATGTCGGTATCGTTCTGTTCTCCTTTATATGGTTCTTTGAAAGGTAAATTCTTGGACGAGTTACCGAAGTGCTTCTTTTTCTTGTTTTCAAAAGTCGGCTTCTGTTCTTTTGAGGGGGAGAAGTCGAAGTTTGGAACCGACATGGACTCTTCGGCAATAACATGCTGTTGAGCGCGAACAAGGAATTCTTGAAAGGTGTTGGGTTTGTTCTGACATAGCGCCCAGCGAAACATGGATCTTGGCTTTAATCCAGAGATTGCTGAGACGAGGAGTGTCTCTGGATGGCAAGGTTCCATGTTTTGCACGCGTTCATTAAAACGTGCAATATAGTCCTTCAAACTTTCATCCTCCTTTTGAACTATGTTCGTGATTGATTCCTTAGGTATCAAGCTAATTTGAGCCCCGATGAAATGGGACCTGAAAGCTGATCTGAGTTGACCCCAACATCTGATCGATTCAGTCGGTAGTGAATAGTACCACTTCTGAGCTTTAGGACCTAAGGTTAAGGAGAACATACGACATCGTAAAGCATCGTCAGCACCATGCAAGTCCATCCATGACGTATAATGTCCGAGATGGGCATCAGGATCAGCGTTTCCGTCGTAGAGGCCAATTTGGGGGACTTTGACTTTTCCCAGTAACGGACCTCTTGTTAACTCGGTTGCTAGAGGAGAACCGACTTCCATATAGACATGGCCCGATTCTGGCACGTGAGGATGCTGATAAGGCCTGATTTGAGTGGTTTGTCGGGCTTCCAGCTCTGCCACCTTTCTTCTTAATGCCTCGACTTCAGAAGCATTACGTCGAGCGGAACGATTACGCTCAATTTGCGTTCTCAGGTCAGCCGGGTTCTCGTTTGGTTGAAATAATGAACGTGCCGCACGGGGCACTCTGGGCATATGCTGAGGGTAACTTTCGACTTGTCGAGGGTGACTTTCAGCAACCATTTCTGATTGATTCGCTGCTGGTTGGTTCATTTCCGCCGGCAGTACGTTGTTCACCGGCGGAGGGGGCGGATTGCGTGGTTGTGAAGTAGCATGGGACGCCACTTGGTTATTGTTATCCCTTGGTAGGGGAGGACCTTGTTGTCTCGCCGGAGTTATGGGAGCAAAAGGTTGTCCTGGTGCTCTGTTTGATGGCCCCGGCATGGTTTGGGCCACCAAAGCGGTGAGTCCACGAGCGAATTCAGGATTTTGCATGAGCAGGGTAATGTCCGGCATAACAGGTACTGGGTTGTGTTGACCGGTTGGTGGTTCAACAACACGAACAGCGCTTCCCATGGTGGTTGGATTTGTCTTGTCCGGACTGTGACATTCTCGATTTTGTGAGATGTGGTGTGTATATTTCGAAAATTAACTCCAAATATCTTATGGACCCCTTCCTCTAGCGCCAAAATGTTGATAAACGGATTTAATCAACGTTAACAACGTAAAATTCACACAAAAGATTGTAGAAAATGAGATTTTTATTGAATATTATGAAGTCGGTTTCAGTACAAAGAGGTCGGTTTTCCAGTATATTTCAGGTCGGTTTACAACGAGATATCCGAGGTGAATATATGAGTGTATATGATCGTTTTTTCGAACCCCTCTCTCGTTTTCGGAACTGCTATTTATAGGTATGTTTGGCACACATCCCTAGACAAATCATTCCCGTTTTAATGAAGATTTGACATCTTAGGGGCGGCGATAACGTAGAAGAACCTTGTAGGCAATGATTAGCATGGGCGCGCCTCTATCTGTGTGACGAGTGTCACATCTGTCGGATCGAAGTCGGTTTGTCTTGCGATGTCGGTATCTTGATTGATTTGCGATATTCTACGACTTCTTAATAAATAATTCTTTGACCGAATTGGCCTTCTTCGAGGTTCAGACGACTTGTGTTGATGACCTCCAAATATCCGTGATCATTTATAGGTACCGAGGTGAGGTTACCGAGATGCAGAATGTACTGCTTGACGTCGTCCAGAATCTAGTTTATGCATTAATCTTCGCGATTTCTTTAATTGTATTGTAACATCGAGGTATTCTATCTTGATATCAACACTTACCTTTCTAAAAACATATATATATATATATATATATATATATATATATATATATATATATATATATATATATATATATATATATATATATATATATATATATATATATATATATATATATATATATATATATATATATATATATATATATATATATATATATATATATATATATATATATATATATATATATATATATATATATATATATATATATATATATATATATATATATATATATATATATATATATATATATATATATATATATATATATATATATATATATATATATATATATATATATATATATATATATATATATATATATATATATATATATATATATATATATATATATATATATATATATATATATATATATATATATATATATATATATATATATATATATATATATATATATATATATATATATATATATATATATATATATATATACCAACCAACCCAAGTTAAACGGGCTAGCCCTAACGGGCTTCGGGTTAAACGGTTCGGGCCTAAAAAACCCGAATTTAAACGAGCTGACAATAAAAGGCCTTAACCCTGTTTTTTATCGGGTTAAACGGGCCGACCTGTCGTACCAAGGACCATTTAACATCTCTATAAATCAACCTTCAACTTTTTGACTCAACAATAAAAGCACAACAATATTAAACTATTAACATTTTCAACATTCCATTTGAAAATCTTGTCACAAATGAAAAGTTGCGTCCGTGTGTGAATCTTTTTATTTCGAATGGCGGCAAACATCAAAATCGCACTCCCAAAATTCCCCAAATGGCCCTCCCCACGAAAACTAGAAAAAAAGTTTCCCCCTCGCGCCAACAAATTTGGCGGGTGGTCAAAAATCACTTCGCATTCGAAGACCCTTTTCGTCCTTTCACACTCCCGCGCGCCTTAGGGTTTTCGTAAAGTTATATATAAAACCCTTCAATAAATTTCTATTTCCCTCAAAATCGCCCCCCAAATCACGCCCCGGTTCAACTTTCTCTCTCTACAATTTCGGCCGGTCGGTTTTCCTGTAAATCTTAGCCAACAAAATTCCTCTTTCACTCCCAGCCGCTCACTAAAACCCTTACTCCCGGCCACCTCCTTTCTCACTCTCTATCTACGCCTACGCCAGAGAGATAAATTGGTAATTTGGGGTTTTGTTTAGTCCGGCTGAGTGCATTCCTCAATTTGATCGCGGTCTAGTGCTTTTAGTTGATCTTCAACTGCTGAGTAGGGCTCCTTGATCCGTGGTTTAGCTTGTGTTTAGTTTGTTTGCTTTTATTTTTCCGAATCATCTTGAGTTTTGGGGTGCGTTATTAGTAGCTTGGGGCTTGATCAAGTGTCTACTGAGCAAGGCTCTCGATTTTCAGTTTGTTAACCCTGAAATCCCTACTTGGTTTTCTTCGGATCTTCGAAAACGGGTTTCGGATGATGGATCTGAGTGATAAAGTAAGTGATCGCGGCTTGTTGTTCCCATTTTCATTCTTAGTTAAAGTTGAGATCGATTGAAAAGTTCGAATCAAGACTATCCATTTATTTTTTTTAATTTTACTGTATTTTTCAGGGATCGGAGTGTGAAGAAATGAGTTGCCAAACACCCACCCCAGATAGGGTTTCATCGGACGGCTCAAATGTGAAGACTTGTGTTGACTGTGGCACCTCAAAAACCCCCCTCTGGAGAGGTGGCCCTGCTGGTCCCAAGGTACGTATTATTATATACATTAATTTAATTCACTTCATTTCAATTTATTTTATTTTAATAGTGCCTTGTCTCTGTTAGCTCTGTTTTTTTACTCGGTAATAGTTGCGTCTTTTAATGGTAGGTGTAGATTAATTGCATAACTTGGTCCCTCACGTGATGCACTTGTTTTTGATTTGGTGAGATCTGATTGAATGAATTATTTATCTGTTGCTGTCTGCTACTGCTACAGTCACTGTGCAACGCATGTGGGATAAGAAGCCGGAAAAAGAGAAGGGCCCTAATGGGCGTCACTAAAGACGATAAGAAAATTAAGAAATCGCCCAAGACCAACAGCGGCAGCAGTTGTACCAGCAGCAACGGGGATAGTACCTTCAAGATCAGGGATTCGTTTAACAGGAAATTGTGGGCTTTTGGAAGGGACGTGGCTCTGCAGAGGCCAAGATCCAACACTAATCGGAGACGAAAATTGGGAGAGGAAGAACAAGCGGCTTTCCTCTTGATGGCTTTGTCTTGTGGGTCGGTTTATGCTTAGGAATTTTGTGTACTAGCTGCAGTAGTAGTTGTACTATTGCAATTTTTTTTATTTTAATTTACGAGCTAATTTGATTTTCAAGAAGGAAAAAAAAGGGTAATGGCTCAAATGGGCTTTTCCCCGAGTGTGAACCCTTTTTTTGAGTGCGGAAATGAAATTTGTCCTAATTTATTGCAATAGAATTGGATCTTTGTAGATTTTATCTAATTTTAAACGTGATTTTTGAATGCTTGAATAAAAAGATCACACGCCCTTAAAGAGGAAAACAGAGTGATAATCAAGTATTCAATGCTATGCCAAATAAAGGAAGATTGATAATGGGAATTGGTTGAAAAGATTCATAATTGTAAGGCAAGAAGTTGTCTATTTGACTTGAAATGCTTTGCTGACATTGGTAGAGGTTGTCAAGATGATTTTTTATGTTATTATGTAAATGTGACAGCAGTCAGCGGATATTTGTCTTGCATTTTGTTAGTCACAATTTTTTTCATATTAAGTGCAGTCTTGTACTTTGGTGAGTAAAAACTGTTATTGTGCCTTGTAAAGATACCTTATCAAATGGTTCAAAGCAATGTTCTCTGAAGAGTAGAGACCTGATAATCATTGAACTCCTTTTCATTTGTTGCTAATGGTCCATTTTATATTACTAATGATATGATAAATTAATTCAATCAAGTGCTTAAACTGAAAGTTAAAGTATAAATTGAGGCTCAACAAAATATATAAAAAGAATTTATCACAACAATAATATTTATATTGAGTTATTATGTCTTGAGATATAAATAGAGATCTAATCTAGATAAACTTATTTTGTTCACTGAAAATGACTTTTAAGAAAAATAAATAAAATATTTGTGATACTACCTTGGGTATTTTTGAGCAGCGAGTACTTATATTTTGTCTAGATTCTAGAGTTGATCATGTACTCTACATTAGGTATTATCATTGAGCAATCAAAGAATTTGTAGTACAAAATTCCAGCTCATGATTGGACCAAAGGAACCAAGATTTTATTCATCGCCCAACGTTTTCTATGTTATTTAAACGGTTCGACGACTGCAACAGGTAAGAAAACTATTTGAACTCCACATTTTTTTTAACCATCTTGTAGTTTTTCTTAATTTTACAATAAAATAAATAAATAAATAAATAATTGAGAGCCATAACATGATATTCATCTTCTCTATATTTCAGATTACCTTTATCCATCCACTTGCCTTAATTGGCAGGGAAATGTTGGGTCCAAGTTCTTTTGTTTGGTGGTGCGTAGGGAAACTGTTTCAGTCCTCACACTATCACTTATTTGATCTCAGCCCCAATCAACAAATACAAATTAAAGATGCACATCATTTTCGTCATCATCATTATTATTATTATTATTATTATTATTATTATTATTATTATTATTTGTTTTATGTAAACAATTTATATGTATAGTACACATTGTTTCAAATGAATAATTGTGATTCCTTCTTGCCCTTATCATATTTCATCAAGGTATTTTATAATTGTGTAGTTAATCATATTTATTCGTTTTGACCGATTTTAAGAGGGGGTATGCGTTTGGAATTTTGAGTGATATAAGACTTTTAAAATTCAAAATTTCTTAAGATATGCTGATATTAGTGAAGTCATTAGAAAATTTTAAGGGGTGTATTCATTATAGATTCTTAAACACTTATTGAAATTTTAAAAATCCTGATGAATACGTTTGAGATTCTCAAAAGTCGTAACAAGGTGTTCATTTAAAAATTAAAAAAATTTTAAAAAGTCGTGAGATTTCAATTTATTTACATAAACGAAATCTTAAATCAAATCCTACATCCAGACTTGAGATTCTAAGGATTCCAGTTAAATCAAAGAACCTTAAAAAGTTTAAAAAACCTCAAATTTTTAAGATGTCTTAAAAAATGACTCAATACCTTAAGCGAATACACCCTTCTAAAGGTGGCATTTAGCATATGTAATTTGTGTTTGAAATCTCTACAAAAAATAAAAAGTCTTAGCAAGTCTCAGTGTCAAATCTCAAATGAACGCCTCAAGATTTTTAAAATTTTTAAAATGTCTAAAATATACCAATATTTTTAAAATCTAAAACAAAAAAATCTTAAAAAATTTCAAACTAATACCAACCGCTTAATATATATGCATGTTTTTCATACTCAAATACTATCTTTATTTAACAGGTGCGAGTCAACCGGTGTAGTGCGTTAAAAACATTTGTGTTTCTCATAATATTAGAAACTATAAATTTTACGGCTGTGTCAAAACACAAATGGCCCATTTTTTTTATTTTTTTTTCGTTTGCATACTTGAGTTTATAAGCAGTAGAAATTTTATAATTTTATAATATGAAAGATATTTGTTGAAGCTTGATTGTGATTTGGTATGGTCATTATTTTTAGTAAGTTTCCGGATCTTTAATAACAGAATAATATGAAGTGAATAATGGGAGATTTCATGGGCTTAAAATTGCAAGAAAGAGTCCTGCTATATCCCATTTATTGTTTGCTGATGACACCTTAGTTCTTTGCCAAGCTGATGCTCTTCATGCTCATGCTCTGTTGCATATCTTAAACAAGTATCACTTATTGAAGGTCGAACATGTAGCAGTTGAGCAAATGAGCTTAATAATTAATTATATCGACCTAATTAAAATGTTTTATTTCGAAAATAGCTCGACGGTTTGCAGATATTGGTTCGGCCGTGTTTTGGCTAGGATATCATATGCATAATCGATTTATTCAGTGTTTACGAATGTGTGGGTGGCAATTGTGCATTTTCCTTGAGACGTTTGACCCTACTATTATTTGGTCAAAATAATAGTAAATGTAATACAAACAAAATACAGCTAGTGGATTAAAAGCAAAAGAAAATTAAAAAAACAAAAACTTTAGTGGCGAAAGTGATTAAACTTTGTGCTTTTATTAATAGGTCAATTCTGAAGGGCCCGCCCCCAATTGGAGTCATTTGCCAATTTGACATACAGCTAATCCCCAACACATCTTTTCTCCCAAATAATTTCACTCTTCTTTCAGTTACTACCCATCAGTTTCACTAATATATTGCAAACTTATATTGTGGATTTTTAGGCTTGAATCATAGTCGATCCTGCACATTATGATGTCCTAGGCAAAAATAAAATTATACCTCGAGCATTCTCATTTTTCAAAAGATAATTCATTTTTAATTAAAAAACTAGATATAAGGAAGGACCATCAAGCCAAGAAAATAATACTAATAATAATAAATAAATAGAAAGGGAGGGTCAAGAAGGAAGACGGACAAAATGCAACAAAAGGAATTATTTTTCTCCAATTGATAATTGGTTCGAAGTCTTGNTTCAAAATTTATCATTTATTACTTACTTGCTTTTTAAAAGATATTTTACAAATATCATGAATGAAAATGAAATCTATATATTATTGAACATTCCTTAATTACAACATTCTTAGTTTGATAAGTTTTGTTTGATGAGCTAAATATATTTTAAAGATATAAATATAATTGCAGCAGAGCCCAGCCGCGACGCAACCGAGCCCGCGCACGCAGCCGCAACATGCAACACACAAATGACGCGCATCGCCGCAACAAATAGTGCACGTTAGCCATAGCCACATGAGACACGCCAACAGTAGTCCGGCCTCGTCTTGAGGTCTAACCTGATCTTATCTTGAGATCTAACCTGTCCTCAGGCCATACGACCTCAATACCTCAAGGTCAACGGTATTGTCGGGCTCCTGGAGGTTGGCACCGTCAAGTCGTCTTTTTCAGGTCGGTCGATAACTTAAGCTCACGTACGAGCTATTTGACCGAATAATCTATCTCTAATCATGCTAGAGCTTTCTTAGACCAGCTTAGTAAAGCTATATGTTCAGACCAGTCTGCCGAGCTATTCTGGGTGCTACATGGTTGTAAGTGGTAGAATCTCGAGTTAGAACTCCAGCAAAATGAGATTTATATAGCGGATAAAGTAAGCATGCATGGAAGCATTGATAGGAGAAAACATTTATTCAAAATAGTCATTTCATAAGTCCAAAGTTCGCTTAACATACCACATCAAGAGAAATCCACAATACCCTAGCAACCTAAGAGAAGGAGGAAGAGGCGTGCTCCTCTCGACCTTGTGGCTAGGGTTGCAACATTGAAGATCTCAATCATAGGTAAAGAGGGGGTTTTATAAGAGGAATGGGTGTTTTGATTTACACTATTGGGGAAAGAGTTATAAAATAGAAAAGGGTGTTTTGATTTACGCTATTGGAGGAAGAGTTAGAAGGATGGCTGAAATTCGACATTACGGTCACTGAAATTTTAAAACACAAAAACTCAAATGAAAAGATGAAAACGAGCGAATTCTACCCTAAGTAGCTTAAGGATATAAATTTGAAGGTCTAATGAGAAGAGGTTACGTACCCATGATACTGGTGTACGTGTAGTGTCCGATTTTCAAAGAGGATGCAGATTATTTCACGACGTTCCTTCAATTGTCGGTAATGCTTCTTTGCTAAAAGCTTTATTGCGCAAAAAATGGCAGAGACAATGGAACATGAAGTCGATGTGATATGCCAAAATGACGTTTCATATGGATCGTAGATCAGAGGAGAGATCAACGACTCATGTTGAAAGCGTGTGTAAGGTTTTGAGACGTCTCTGACGTCACGTGGCCCGAGGTAGGTTGACATAATGCATTTAATATGGAAGAGAGAATAAAGTAGAAAAAGTCATAATATTATAGAACAAGCCTGACAACTCGATCCTAATAATGGGTCAAATCTATCATTATATAAAAAGAATAACCTTTTTACAAATTTAGAAACTTTTTCCCGCCAAAATCATTAAATAGATCTTACATATATTAATTGTTGGACAAAAAAAATCGGCTCATTAATTGTGTAAAAATTTATTTCTTTTTTTCTTGTTTTTTAGTTTATCAAAACCGTTGTTTGACAATAAATATTTGTTCTTCTTTTTCCTATTTTTAGTGTAAATCTACACGAGCTTATCTCTTTTGTTACAAAATCTCATTGCATAAGTCTCACGTCTCATCCCTTATCTATAGAGATTTGAAAAAATAAAATAAAATAGAAACCAATTCATAATTACTACTAGAAATCCATCTTTAAGAAGCTAATTTTCATCGGTCTAATTACTAATATTTTTTTTACAAATATTATAAGCTAACCATACAAAAAAGTAGAATAATAATTTTGAAATGGTGTGTAATCAAATTTTTTTATATTCTCTTATACAAAATAATTTTACATTGTTTGACCCCGAATCTTTAATTTATAATTATTAAATATTGTTTATCCTCCTCCTTAATTTATAATTATTTTTTTCTTCCTCTTTTTAAATAGGATCAATAGTAGTTTCCACTTCCGCCATTGAGTGACTCAAACTCGAGGTCTATTTATAATATTGTTAATTTAATATTGTTCCCGTGCATCGCACGGGTACACACTAGTGATATAGAACCCATGATAACTCTGTGGATCAGTTAAAGTAGTTAGCTCGAGTTAATCGGTCCGCGATAACTTTTAGCTCAGTAGCAGGGCTTAACCCCGTCAAGGAGCTCAGTATATCAGCTCGAGGTACGGGTCGACTCCCGTTACGAGGTAGTGAGTTGAGCTCATTTGAGAGCTCAACTAGATGAGGTGTGATTACGACCTGGAGGTTGTATAACGGAGGCCCTATGAATGATGTGGCAGTAAAGTCTTGCGGTCAGTGCGAGGACCTACGAACATGGGATGTCTTGGTAAAGAAGGAAATGACTAAGTAAATGTATCTCGCCGAGATATAGAAGATCTCGGAGACGTGTTATATTAGGAAACGAGATATGGAGAAATCTCTTTTCTAGTAATAAGATACGTGAAGAAGAAGACAACCTTCTTATAAAAGGGTGTTGCCAGGTTCTTTTATGATAAACGTCCAAAACAAATTCTATATCACAATTTACTGTTCATGAATTAGATCTAACTGAATGACGATTCATGGCATCACCAGTCCAAATCCAATCTAGAAACAATTTGCACATCATAAACCCTACCCTCTTCATACATAAGCTTGAATGGGGAATTGATTCACCATTGAAGTAGATATATTTTATGTTTTCTTTGATATTATTAAAATAAAATTTAGTGTATATGTAAAATACAAAAAAAATTATTTTGTTACAAATTATTTAATGTGTAATAGTAAGAACTGTTGATTTTTAAAACAATATCACAATAAAGTTAAATAATTATGTATGATTTGCTATATTCTTCATTTTGCAGGGCACCCCCAAACGACATTGATGTGCTGCCTGCTGGAAAGACCTGGAATATACTCCCACATGCAATCTTAAGATTATTGACCTATAATTCGTAAGATTAATTGGAACATTGATTGTTTCAATTTTTTGTTGCAACTATGATACAAATTTTTGAACTTAGAATTTAATTTAATTTAAATATAACTTAATTTTTAATATTATCAATATAATTAAATAATATTAATAAATAATTATTAGACAATTTTCAGTAAATCACAACTACCAATCATTTTTATTCACATCTCACTTATTTTTACATCACATTAACTTTAATAATTACATTTTAATTCACATTCAAACACAAACTCAAAATCCAACTGAATCTCAACTCAATAAATTCTTTAGAATTAACTCATTTTATCCTGTGGCTGGAAATCTTCACGAAAAAGGTATCATTCACGATCCTTATTGTACTCTTTGTGGAGATAAGCATGAAACCCTCATGCGTCTGTTTTTTGAGTGTGAAAGAGCTCACAAAATCTGGAAGTTAGCTGCTGTTAGATGGGATTCTTCTGTGCTTAATACTGACCAGTTTAAGAATTGGTGGGTAAATATTTGTAATGCCAAAAAAGGAGATTGTTGGGAGGGTAGAATAGAACTCACAGTTTATATGTTATGGTGGCTATGGAAAACACGAAATTGTTGGGTTTTTTAGAATAAAAAATTCTTAGAAAAGGTTATTACTGATAGAGCTAAGGAGGATTGGTTGGAGTACAAGGAAATTTGTAGGAAACCTTTGATGTCTTCAGGGTTGATGCTAAAGAACTGCATGAATGTAGGGCAAATGAATATCTTTGTCAGTGCATGTGTGATCCCTTTGGGGGGCAACGACTTTGGAGGAATTACAGTGGATGAAACAGGCTCGGTTTGCAGGAATTGGGGTGTGCTTCTTCATCAAAACTGCGACCATTCAGAATCCCTTTTATTGGGAGTTAATCGCGAACTTTGGAGACCGTTCTTGTTGGACTAGAAGTCTATTTCAGTCAAAGTGGATAATCAGGAAATGGCTCGAGCCCTCCAAGAAGGAAGTTGCAGGACTTTATTTGAAGATATATGTGCTTTAAAATTTTTTTCAGTTCTGTTTCTTTCCATTTTATAGCTCAAGATGATTGGGTAGATCAGTGTGCTTGTTTAGCTTTGAATGCAATGGTGTCTTCTACTAGCCATGATTGGCTTGATGTTTGTCCGGTTTGGTCCTGATCTTTATCAGACCAAGTGCTTTGTAGGATCAGTTGATCTCATTGTACTTAACGGTTATTTGTGTTTATGAGTATAAATTCTATTATTTCAGGAAAAAAAAAAGAAACAAAAACAAAAACAAAAAACTCATTTTATCCAATAAATAAGAGTCAATCTAGAAAAAAATTAATCTCAACAACTCAATAAGTAGATGTAATTTTATAAAAATAAATAAATAAATGAGGTAGTCTATCTTCATAAAATGAAAATTATGTTATTAAAAAGTTTGAGGCAACATGGAGCAACTATGATTATGTCCAACGGCAATGTAAAAGTTTAATTGCCTAATAAGGTTCTTGATCCAAGAAAACAACTTTAACCCTCTTTCTTCTGAAAAAAGAAGATGAAGAAAAACATGTACTAATTAATAGGGACATGAAATGATAATAACAAATTGAAAAGTAAATGGGCACTTCCAATTGTTTCCGAAAATTCAGAAAATAAGCTATGAAGATGAACACTTTTTGCTTTACCAAAGATTTCATTTTTGACATGAATGAATCATGAAGCCCAAATTAAAGGGCACAGCGTAAATTCTACATATAATATGATTGTCACATGTTGCATTTTGATTGGCTCAGCTTATCTTGAAATTGAATGCTTGGTTGAAATACAGAATTGCAGATAACATTAGTCCCCACTTGAGGACATAGAGGTATTGTGTGAAAAATTGAAACTTTGTTTTACTAAGAGTATCTACAATGTTTTGGGTCTAATTTTGTCTATTTGACATGTAAATAAACTCAAGTCTTGGATAACATGGATAAAATTATGTAAAATTGATAAAATTCACTCTAATGCAAAGAGACTAGATCTCTACTTGGGTCTAAAATAGACTTAAGGGTAGATCGAGTCTCTTTTTCTGGTTGCCACATCAACAAAACTCAATCTACTTTTGTTTGCATTGGAGAATACATTTTTTTAGACTAGGTTTATTTCTTAGGTGACATATAATTTTTTGCAATTAAACATTCAAACTCTGGTGTCCAAGCAATGTTAAATGCGTATTAGGTTAAGACATTTAGGTGTAAACTAGCCTAGCTCCTTGCTCAGTTCATTAACTAAACGAGTTAAAGTTCAGCTCGCTTACTAATATTAGCAAGCCGAGTTCAACTTGAATTATTAATCAAATGAGTTTTAAATTAGCTCCAGCTCAAATAAGTTGAACCGTGCTCAAGAGCAACTCATTTCTTTTAACATCTCTAATCACACTGCTAAAAATCAACTACCCATAATTACCCAAATCAGTAAGCCACAAATGATTATAAGCTTCATATATATGGCACAGTTATTTATTAGCAAGCCCCAAATGCTTATAAGCTTCATATATATATCTGTCACAATCTTTTACAAATTGCAACCCCGTAAAATGATTACTTGATGTTACTCGAGTTTCTGACAAATTATTCAAGTATCAAGATCACATTATTCATAGAATGTAAACAATATTTCATGAAGAAATATGTGAAGGCAAAAACAATTGGAAATTTGTAGATTTATGCTGATTTCGTTACAACCCCCTGTAAATTTGGTGAAACAAAAATAAGATGACAAGAGAAATAATATAAATTAGACCTAAATTAAAACTCAAGAATTTACAGATAACTTCACTGAATAACAGAGTCATGTCTTCAGTTCTGCACTTCCAGAAAAGCCCTCCAGAATTCTTCCGATCCAGTTTGCAGATGAAGGGCATTACTGGAAATTCGCCAAATTTTGCCCCAAAGCCTCGCAAACCCTCGTTGTTCTGTTTGATCCTCCTTTCATCAGCAAAGCTTGAGATCTGTGAATCTGACATTTTTATTTTGACATTCTTCCATTTTTTTTTTTTTTTCTTCAGCTAAAGCGGAAAAAGAATAAAAGATAAAAACTATAAATCAATTAAAGATAATAAAAATGGAGAAAAGCAGAGCAACAGCTATGAAATTAAAGGCTTTAGCTTTCTTCAATGGTATGGATGAATCGGATGATGGAGACGGTGGGGGGTTGTGATAGTAAAAGGGAAAGTAAGGCACGATTGGGTTCGGCGGCGGCGGCGCTGGTCCCGCTGGGACCATCTGCGGCGGGTTGAAGTAGGTTCCTCCGCCGCCGCCGTGGAAGCCGGGTGCTGGCGGCGGCTGGTAGTACGAGAATGGCGTCTGCGGCGGTGGTGGGCCGTAGTAGCTGCCGGAGCCGGAGGACGGCGGAGGAGGTGAGGACGGCGTCGGCGGCGACGGGGTATTGCAGGGATTGTCGCAGGCAGAGCACATTGTGCAGTCAATCTGGTACTTGGACCCCGCCCATGTGCCTGTCTCATCATTCTTGGCACCAGAAATAGAAAAAGACCCCATCTTTGATACAAAAATTGTCACCAGGAAAAATAATTTGAGCCTGTGCTGATAATTCCTCCCCATTTGTTGCGAAGATTTAACTTTTTGTTCTATTCTTTAGAAAGAGGAACAAAAGAAGAAAAAAAAGGGGAAATGTAAGTGAAGAATGTAATGTGAGAGAGAGAAAGAGAGAGTAGTGAGGTATACCGTTACACTGTATAATCTGTAATGTAGACTTTATTGTGAACTGTGATGTGTTTAAGGTTTTTGTTTTAGTAGTGACTAATTAAATTGAGCTTAATTAAGATGGTACTACTTTACTAATGAAGTGTGGTATTGTTTGTTTTTGAGCTGGAAAAGAAGACTACTACCGACAGGCTTTTCTCTCTCTACTATGGAGGGTGTTTTGGTCACTTCGTTGTTCTCTGCCCTTCTTGACCATGTATTTTTTCTTTAATTACTGTTGCAATTTTTTTTCTTGCTCTTTCATAAATAAACAAGGAACAAATGCAATGTTTTTTATTTTTTATATTTTTTCAAACCATAGAAATTGCAACAAAATATAAGGTAAATTCCCTGATACAACCAAATTGAAAAGAGAGCATCATAATCAAGTTATGATCTAGCTAAGCATAAGGTAATACTACCTTCTTCCTGCACCTTTGCACTCGCTGACGTCCATTCAGTCCTTCACAGCTGCATTTACAATCATGAACTCAGGTTTCCAAACTCCTTCAAAGAGCAACATATTTCTGAATTTCCACAACCACCACAACATGTATGTGGAAAGCTGGACTCTCCTTTCAGCAATGTCAGAGTGATTCAATGCAATGATCCACTACCACCGATCTTTGAATACTCCATTATCTGCAGGTAACTCCTCCCAATGTACAGGAGCTAGTTTCCACACCTTCTTTGCTCTTCTGCAATTGAACATGATATGCTCAACAGAGTCATCTTCTTCCCCACAACCTCTGCATCTTACATCCACCTCCACACCTTTTTTACAACATTACGAAGAACAGGCAACACCCCAGAAGAACATTTCCAAATGAAATGTTTCATTTGCCCTGAACTTTCAGTTTCCAACATAGTTGTCAAAACTGGACCGGACCGGCCGGTCCGGTTCAATGGAAGAAACCGGCTGTGGTCAAAACCGGTCAATGACTGGTCGAACCGACCAAAACCGGCCAAAAAACCAGTTGGTTCAACCGGTCATTTTTTTATTTTGCCAATCCGGTCAAATAATTTTTATGTATAAATTCTAACACTTTTATAAAGCAACTAACCTTTTATGGTTACCGATGTGGGACAAGATATAAGAATTCCAAATTTTCAATTAGAAAGGTAAAGAACTAAAGCCATGCGAGGAAGAAATTTCTTTTCCCTTTTACCTGCGTGTGGAAGGAATTTCTTTTCCCATATCCTATCTTTATTTCCTATTATTTTATTGCCCAATGTGGGAGTGTGAGGAAATAGTTATTGCTTAATCTATATATGGTGGGACCAACCTTTTAAAAAATAAGTCAACTATATTTAATATTTATAAAGTATTATATATTTAAAATATCAATAAATTAAATAACTTAAAAATTAATTTAACTATATCTATGAAATATTATATATATATATATATATATATTTAAAAATATCAATAAATCAAATAACGGTCCAACCGGTTCAACCACTGGTCGGACCAGTGAACCATTGAACCAGTAGCTTGACCGGTTTGATGACCGGTCCGGTTTTGACAATCTTGGTTTCCAGCACATTAGCCTTGCTTCATTGTTCTTTTTTGCAACTAAACTATGTCCTGCTCTGTTTTGCCCTTGCACTTTCTCAACAATTAGTCTAGCATATGTAGTTGCGATAGTGTATCTTCCTTTTGTGTCAAATCGCCAGATCCATCTATTAAGTATTTTATGAAAGAACGAAGCATATTCATGTTCGTTGTCATTTTGTGCAGGAATTCTAGAAGATGGAAATCTTGTTTGAAAAAGATCAAGACGATGGAGAAACCTACAAATATGATGACCAAGGTAGTGACAACAGTCAAGTTTGAACATTGTTTAAACTTGACCAATATTCTGCATATTTGAGATGGCGTCGAGCGGCACATTTGGAGGCATTGTCGACAGTTTGATTAAAGAGTTGAAGCGAGAACAAAGTTAGTAAAGGTGGTGAACTATTAGATTTTGACTTAACGTTTGTCTCACATCGAATGTGTACGTACCAAAGTTATGTATGATCATTTAGTATAAATAGATCGCTTGCCATTGGGTTGCAGTTGCACCTTATTATCTTTTTCCATATCTTTGAAGGAAGTCCTTGATTAAGAAAATTCTAATTTGTAGGTAGTTGTATTTTGTTGATAAATTTTGTGAACTTGGCGTTGCGGTTGGTGGTTCCCGAATACGTAAGCAATATTGTCGAACTCCTTATCGTTTGGCGTGTTCTTTTTTTTTCTCGTTATTTATTCTTCGCTTTTATTTGTAGTAGTGCTTGTTACTATTTGTTGTGGAAGTATTTTTTACCCGTTTTCCTTGTTGTAATACCCGCCATCACATTGGAGATACTATAAAACACCTTTCATTTATATGATTGAACACTGATTCAACAATAAGGTTTCTTCTTGCAAATCGCACGAAGGCGGTCTATCCCTATCGAGGTAGGCAAGATTTTTAGTCGTTAGATCAACACATACTCAATATGATTATGTGTTTTTACATGTGATCCGATAGGTCATGAGTAGGGTCAAAGTAGTTGGGTTGAACAATGTAGAATGAACTTACCAATAGTTATTTTATACGCTTGCTCATGTAGAACACTTATGTAAAAGAAATAATTTGAGTGAATTAACTCAAAGTGGGTTTTTTTTAGTTAACTAGAGTTAATTTAGAAAAAGTGGTATAGTTAGTTGTTAGTGGATTTTGAGTTTATATTAAAATAATATTTAAAAAAATAATTAAAATTAATTTAATGTAAAAGTAGGAGAGAAATGATATAAAGTGATGGTTAGTTAAAATTATGTGAGTAGATGAATAGTGAATTAAAGTTGATATGATGTGTAAAAATGATTAGTGTTATTATTTAATGATTAGTTATTATTATTTAATTATACTAGTACAGATCCCGTGCGATGCACGGTGCACAAAATTAAGGCTATTTATCAAGTTTTATAATTATATAAATGAATAAAGAAAAATGTACAGGATATATATAGTACGTGACCTGTAATAGGCCAAAATGTGAACACGGGTGATGCACGGGGTGCACAATTTTAAGGTCATTTATTAGTACAGAGCCCATGCACGGGGTGCACAATTTTCTAGTATGTGTAATACAAATACATATCGTATGCACGGGACAGAAGCACTAAATGAGTTATTTCCACATAGCTTGTCGATTAAGTAGCTCCTGAACACGGGTTCACAATTTGTAGTACGTAATATAAAATCAGAACAGATTTCCATACAATTAGATAATAAATTAGATAATAAATAAAGCCTTTTTATTTTAATAAAGATTTTACGTACTTTTTTTTTACTTATCGGATGTTATGGGATTTTTTTTGTTAAACCGATTTTATCGGATATGATACAAATACAATTAGAGGATTACACAAAATCAGAACAGATTTCTATACAATTAGATAATAAGAATGAATTAGATAAGGAAAAAAAAAATTAGATAAAGAATTTTGAATCTACCTTTTTTTAGTATAGATAGACTTTACGTACAAATTTTGACTTCACCAATTTTATAAGATTTGTTTTGACAAAATCAAAGATGAAATACTGAAGACTGTTTCTATTAACATTTACAATGTGTATTTAATATTTTTTTTTTTGGCAAAATATTCTTTTTAAGTGTGATATATAAATATTAAAAATACTTAAAATATTTAAAAATACTTAAAATATTTTATAACATCTATAAAAGCATCTAAAATATTCTATATTATTCACAAATAATGTTTGAAGCTACCTAAATTTTTCTAAACTACCCGTAAGGAAAATATGTCTAAAAATTCTTCATTTAACCTTCATATATGTATATATATATAGAGAGAGAGAGAGCAAATGTGTAAAAAAAAATTATACAAATAATATTTAAAAGTATCTAAAATATTAGTAATGAGACAGGTGAAATTTACATTTTTAAAAAATCTATATAGATAATGGATTTATAGTAGTAATTAGACTTTTATTTATTTATGTTTAAAGTTGTTACGATAGATGAGGGATGTGATTTTTTTTACTCGTGGAGATGGAATTTTATAAGCTGGGTTATGAAATTTTCTTAAACTCGTCCATGCGATGAGTTGTTTAAGCTGGGTATATAGATTTAAAATTATAAAAAAAAAAAAACTTTCATAAATCATTTGATTTGGTATTTTCGGAGAGCTTCATTAATTTAAAAGTGTAAAATAAATAAAAAAAAAATGTACAACTGAAAAAGTTACAACCAATTGTATGGAGAATTAAACTAAATCCAATTTTGTGGGATGCATTAAATATTGATTAAATTTTATATGTAAAATAAAATAAAAAAATAACTGGAATAGGTGTAAGTGTTGCAATATTTTATATTTAAAAAAAAAATAAAAAATCTTCATTTACGTATTGCATACCTACATTTTAGGAACTACATAGATATTCCTAAATTAATATTGCATACCCAATATTTTAGGAACTAATTAAATGCTAATTTGATTTGCATACCAAAAATATTAGATGCATTAATTAAATTGATAAAAATAGCAAATCATTAATTAGGGTTGACTATTCTACATACTACATTTAGTAAATAGTACCCCCTTTAATATAAGTATAGATTGATAATATTAAAGATAGTGAGGTTGAGTTAAAATGAATTAAATTTTGAGTGTGAATTAATTTGGTTTGAATTATTTGTTTTACAAAAACGTCAATACAAAAATGGGTAGTTGAACTTGCATAAAATCATTTGAAATCGACGTGGTGTATGCCCGGTTGGTGGTGGGCAACATGACAAATCACAATTAAAGAGAATTTTAAAGTGCAATTCACATTATTTATCTCGTGATTAGAGCTTTTGGATCAGTTAAAGAAGTAAAGTTGTCCGTTTGATGCGGAGTAGATTCTCTACTTACCATGGTTTCGAGGGTAATTAGTAGTATCACTTCTCCATTTTTTACCTCAATTTAAATATTCTTGATATTCACATAAAGTCAATAATTTTCGATGACTTTTAGTTTAACTACAAAAATACTTAACTTCAGTCTAACTAGTACGGCACCCGAGCGTTGCGCGACTTGATGTTAAAAATGACGTAGATGAAAATATTATTTATTATAAAAAAATTTGAATTGTTTTCTTAAATATAATATTTGTAGTGGATGAATATATTCATTACCACCATTATTATCATCAATAACAATCATTAAACAGCAGAGATTCG